AGTTAATATATTTTAATATATTTTAATTTTCAAGTTTATTTTGAAGAAAACATATTGATTGAAAATCATTATTTTATAAATGACAAAATTAAATATGATATGAGAAATTGTAAAATGATTTTTCCAAATATTTTCCTTTTTAAAATAATAAAAATAATAAAATATAAACATTCCTCCTTTATCCGGGCTTGGGACCGGCTACTTCAATAGTTCTTATTTCGAGTAGGCGGAGTTAAAAATTGTACACGAACAACTTGTTACGTGTACAATTTTTTTAAAAAAATTATAAAGGTATTAAAATAAAAATTCATCATAAATATGATTAAACTAAATATCACTTACTTGACTACATGCAATTTCGGCATATTTATTTTGCAGTCGAAAATGAGCGTCTTGCCAGTCCTTCACGCACATTAATGCTTCCAAAACATCTTCTTTTAGTCGATTCCTAACATCAGAGAGAACCCTAGATCCTGTACTAAAAGCAGATTCCGAAGCTACAGTGCTAACCGGAGGTGTTAGTAGATCTTTTGCCATTGCAGAAACTATTGGCCATCGGCGTTCATACTTTCGCCAGAAGTCAACTACTTCTTCTGAATTTTTCCTTAATGCATTGTTACTAGGCCAATTATGATTAAAGTAATCAAGTAATTCAGCAGGCAACGCATTTTCACTAGTACATGCAGTAGAAGACAAACTACTATGACTGGAGTAATCATATGCATTTCCAATTTGACCATACCTATATGAGTTCATACCTTCAAATAAATTTAAAATTTCAGCGTCGTCATCTCCTAAATTAGTGGGAGGAGTACTTGTAGAGTCGAAGGGTACACGAGTAACTTGAGTACCCATTCGTGAAGCATATATTACATACATTTCAGATGAAGTTGCTTCCAAATTCCTATAGGTAATAGGTATGTTAAAAGTTAAAGATTCTGACATTCACTCAATTATAAATTTAGTACCAGATAAATTATATTGGGGGTCCATGATGCATGCTAACGGAAATAACATGGGCAAGTCTTCCCAATATTTTCTAAACTTTAATTCCATGGCATTTATAACTGAACTAAAATCGGGGTCATTTTTAAATCTATCAAAAGCCCTAGCAACTAGATAAAGACGTTGAAGAACCATACAACTAGTAGGATAATAAACACCAGACAAAATATTTGTAGCATCATAAAAACTTTTCAAAAAATATTTAATTTTAGTAACTAAAATCCAATCGGACTCAATCAAAACAGTTTCCTCGTCGTCTCTAAAATGCCTACTGTTATAAAATTCAGTAATTAAATGTTTGAAACCTTCACATGATTTTAATAATAAATATGTGGAGTTCCATCTATGCGCTACGTCACTAATAAAAGTTTTTGAATGCGACACCCCATGTTCGGCACAAAAGTCCTCAAATGCTTGTTTTCTACTAGTGAAATAGTAATATAAATTAGTGCATCCTTAATTCGTTGAATTTCATCCTTAACATGTTTTAAACAATCTTGTACTATTAAATTTAAAATATGACATACACATCGAATATGAAATAAAAAACCACCAAATTCAGGTTGAAGTACTCTTTGCAATTTCTCGATAACAGGCTTATTTACATTAGCGTTGTCGAACGTAAAAGAACGAATTTTACTCTCGCATTTATATTCTCTAATAACGTTCATAATAGCACTAAATATATTGGGAGCATTGTGCGGGTACTCAATAATTTTAAAAGCAATTATTTTTTTATGCATGATCCAAAGTGGGTCTATATAGTGTGCAGTTGCAGCCATATAACCTCTTTTATTAATTCATTCCCATAAATCCGAAGTTAAAGATATTACACCCCCATATTTTTCTAAATCGGCAATCAATGTTTTCTTTGCATTTAAAAAATATTCTATTATATCAGAACGAAGAGTATTTCGACTTACCCCAGCGTACCTCGGTTGAAGACATTCTTTGACAAATGTAACGAAATGTTGGTTGTCCGTTTGTGCTAGTGGCAACTCAGATCCGGCAATGTACTTCACCATTCCTGTTCGAGTTCTTTCCTCCGAATACATCCACGTATTAAGTGGCGTAGTAGTAGTAGCACCGCTGCCTGAAGTACCAAATTGTAGTTGCGTTGACCAGCAGGAAGAAGACCATGTTTGGCCGTACATGCTTTGTAGTGACGGTTGAGGTGGGTGGTTCCAATGCTTTTTTGATGAGCCAATCGTTGTTGACAGTATTTACATACTGCTTTGGTTTCTGGAATTCCATCGACCATACGACCAGTTTGAACCAATTTAAAATGATCCCAATATTTTGCATGCTTCTTTACCTTTCTCTTCCCTCTTGCATCGGGAATTTCAATAACAGGTTCATCATCCTGTTCCAAATCAATTGGAGCCTCAGCATCAACGTCATCCAAATTAATTTGATGACTACTTTCATAAACATTATAATCTTCAATATTTTCTGGAATGGGTACTTCATTTAGACCGGCGAACTCATTCCCATATTGATTATGGGACACATTTGCTTCATTTCCGACTCCGACATCGAACAAGTTTTCAATAAATGAGCGTGAATCCATTTGTGATTAATTGAAATTGAATGTTGAAGAAAAAGAAGTGAAGTAGAATTGAGAAATGAATGAAGATTATGTAGTAGTGTAGAAACTATATTGTAAAATCAAGATTATAATTTAATGATATGAATATAAAATGTAGAAGAGTATAGAAATGAGAATGAATGAATGAATAATATTGATAATAATTGAGTTGTAGAGAGTATAGTAGAGAATAAGAGATTGATAGTAAGTTTGGTAAGAAAAAATGTTGTAATTGATGGGTATTTATACCAAAACGGTCACTGACAAAGTTCAGTGACCGTTCGGTCAAAAGTGACCAAACGGTCACTGAACTTTGTCAGTGACCATTCTGGTCACTGAAATTTTTTTTTTTTTTTTTTTTGTT